TGGCGCGCGAAGCGCGCCAGGTGCGGCGCCGGAGGCGCCGCGAGGGGGGCCACAGCGCAACTGCGAACAACAAACGGCGAAAGCAGGCATCAAATAAATAAAAGGCGAAAGAGGGGAGGCTTCGAAATAAAAGATCAAATGCAACCGCGAACAACAACGGCGAAAGCGGGCATCCTTGCCGCACTCCCCGGGTAAGCACGAAACCCTGGCGCCTCGAACCCTTCAGCACGAAATCCAGGCGCCTCGAACCCTTCACCACGATCTCGCAGAAATTGTCCTGGTACAGCGCCTGGGCGAAGCGGACCAGCCAAGTGGGCCAACCGAAGTGCCGCAGTAGACGTAGCACGAATTGGTGTTCCAAGGACGGAAACGCAGCCTTGAAGTCGAAGTAGATGGCCAAAGCTCCGGCGTGCTCGCACACTGTATCGCCATTTCCTCATCGCCATCCGCAACGTTGGCAAGCATGGAGCGGCCGGGCAGAAATCCCCACTGGGTAGTGGAAATCTTGGCAGCCACCGCGTCCTCGATAACCAGCCGCACCGCATTCGCAAGGAGCCTGTTGTCCGTGCTCGTGGCATTTAATGGCAGGACCTGCGTGTCCCCATGAAACTGCTCCCCATCGTCCGTCCGTTTTAAAGAGGGGGGCGAAGTCCTGGAGTCGTCAAGCCCCGTCCTCCCCGCAGATGTCCCTCCTCCTCCTCCTCCTCCTCCTCCGCCTCCTCCTCCTCCTCCTCCTCCTGCTCCTCCTGCTCCTCCTCCTCCTCCTCCTCCTCCTCCTCCTCCTCCTCCTCCTCCTCCTCCTCCTCCTCCTCCTCTCCATTTCCTCGTACTGATCAATATCATCGGTTCTGATCCTCCTCCTCCACTTTCTCGTGATCCCTGGCCTCCTCGTAATCCCCCTTCTGCCCCGAATCCGTGCCCCTTCTTTCCTCCGCGCGTTCCTCCTCCTCTTTCTTCACTTGTCCCTCCTCCTCCTCCACCTACTCCTCCTACTCCTCCTCCTCGTCCATCATCATCATCATCATCATCATCATCATCATCATCATCATCATCATCATCAGCATCATCATCATCAGCATCATCATCATCATCATCATCATCATCGCCATCATCATCATCATCAGCAGCAGCATCAGCATCAGCATCATCAGAATTACCATCAAGAATCATCAGCAGCATTATCAATAACGATATCAACAACAACATCATAAACAGCATCATCAGCATCATCAGCATCAACAGCATCATCATCACCACAATCATCATCAGCATCCTTATCATCATCTTCATCATCATCATCATCATCGTCATCATCCTCACCATCATCATCAGAATAATCATCATCAGCGTCATCACCTCATCGTCATCATTAGCATCATCATCATCAGCAGCATCATCATTCTCATCATCATCATCATAATCAGCATCATCATCATCATCTTCGTCGCCGTCCTCAGTATCATCGTCATCATCAGCATCAGCATCATCGCCATCACCATCATCAGCATCAGCATCAGCATCATATCATCAGCATCACCATAGTCATAATCACCGTCATCGTCATCATCATCACCATCATCATCAGCATCAGCATCGTCATCAGCATCTGCATCATCGGCATCATCATAAGCATCATCACCAGTATCAGCATCATCATCGTCATCATCGTCATCATCACCAGAATCGTCATCGTCACCACCATCCTCCTCCTCGTCATCGTTCGTCGTCGTTCGTCGTTCGTCGATCGTCGTTCGTCTTTCATCGTTCCTAGTTCGTCGTTCGTCGTTGTCGCCGTCGTCCTCCTCCTTCTCGTCGTCGTCGCCGCCGCCGCCTCCGTCTTCGTCGTCGTCGTCGCCGTCGCCACCGTCATCATCGCCACCATCATCATCAGCATCAGCGCCGTCATCGTCATCGCCAGCATCATCGTCGTCACCATGACAATCAGCATCGCCAATAACAGCACCGCAATCGTAACAAGCTGCATCATCATCATCATCATCATCATCATCATCATCATCATCATCATCATCAGCATCAGCATCAGCATCAGCATCAGCAGCACCATCATCATCATCATCATCATCATCATCAGCAGCAGCAGCAGCATCACCATCATAGTCGTCCATCGGCACCATCACCAGCATCATGAACATCAGCAGCAGCACCATCATCGTCATCATCATCACAATCATCATCATCATCATCATCATCATCATCATCATCATCATCATCATCATCCTCATCCTCATCCTCATCCTCATCATCATCATAATCAGTATCAGCATCATCATCAACGTCATCATGATCATCGTCGTCGACACCACCATCACCACCATCAACAGCATCGTCATCATCGTCGACCTGATCATCTGCAACATCGCCACCACCAACAACGTCATCATCAGCATCATCATCATCAGCGTCATCATCATCGTAATCGTCAGCGTCCTCGTCATCGTCATCACAATCGTCATCGTCCGCATCATCGTCATCGTCGTCCTTATCGTTTTCATCGTCGCCATCACCAGCACTCTCAGGAATATGTTGCACTAGACCCATCACCATCAGCTTGTTCATCCTCATTGTCCTGATCATCAGAATGATCACCAAAGTCATCATCATCATCAGCATCACCATCAACATCACCATCATCATCACCATCATCATCCGCATCACCATCCGCATCATCGTAAGCATCATCAGCATCATCACCATCAGCAGCAGCATCAGCACCATAATCATCATCAGCAGCAGCATCATCGCGATCATCACAAACAGCAGCGTCGTCATCATCACCAGCATCATCACCATCATCAGCATCGTCGTCATCGGCATCGTCATCGTCGTCATCGTCGTCACCGTTATCATCCTAAGCAGCAGCATGATCAGAATTCATCATCTCTCGTGCTCTCGCCTCCTCCTCCTCCTCCTCGTCCTCCTCCTCCTCCTCCTCCTCTTCCTCCTCCTCCCCCTCTTCCTCCTCCCCCTCCTCCTCCTCCTCCGCCTCCCGCTCCTCCTCCTCCTCCTCCTCCTCCTCCTCCTCCTCCTCCTCCTCTTCCCCCTCCTCCTTCTCCTCCCCCTCACCCTCACCCTTCTCATCCTCCTCCTCCTCCTCCACACCCTCCTCCTCCTCCTCCTCTTCTCCTCCTCCTCCTCTCCTCCTCCTCCTCCTCCTCCTCCTCCTCCTCCTCCTCCTCCTCCTCCTCCTCCTCATCCTCCTCCTCCTCTTCCTCCTCCTCCTCCTCCCTGGAAGCTCGTTTTGAGGGCACCCAGAGCGCACAAAGGGCTCGGACTAGCTCGGGCCTCTCGCATCGGCGCAGGAGCGCCCAGCAGGGAGCCCCGTGGAGGACGCAGGAATAGACGAGCGCGTTCTGCGACCCGCAAAGTCACTAGTCGCAAGTGGCCTGGATCCGCCGCGGGGGGGATCTACGATACATCACTCCGAGGCAACAAACTATTTTTCGGGCGTTTGCGAGTAGGCACTTTGCGAGTAGTGGAACGCGCTGGGTGACTGAAGGAGCCCCCGGGAAGCCGCAGCTGGCCCCGGGAGGCTGCCAGAGCTACCAAGAGGCCACAGGACGCACCAGGAGGCCTCAGGAGTGATGGGCCTGCTTTCCACCACCACCACCATAAGTTGGAGGGGGGAAGGAGGTGGAGGAGGAGGAGGAGGAAGAAAAGGAGGACCCCTCCCCACCGACTTATGGTGGTGGCAGTGGAAAATAAGTCCACCAAGGAGGACCATGAAGCACCAGGAGTCCCCAGAGGCCAGCGGCCCGAGGCAGCCCCAGTGGCGGCCCTTAGGAGCCCCACAGCGAGGCCCAGGAAGCGACGGCGGCTTCGAGGGCGGAAGCCTGTCTGCCGAGAGGGCACGGGGACTGTGAAACTTGCATTACCAGCCTCGAACGTATCCCTATCCCTAAGATTGGCACGCCAAAAGGCGATGACAATCTTAGGGATTCGCCCTCAAAAAATAAGGGAATCCGAAAGATTGGCATCGTGATGAGGAGATGCCCAGCATAGGGATAGGGATATGTTCCAGGCTGGTAATTGCAGGGCGACGACAGCGCTGTCGCGAAGCCCCGACCACGCCGACCGGAGTCGCAGCCTACGGCGGTTGTGGCAGCCGGCCCGGGCGAGGGCGACGCTCTTTCGTCGTCGCTGGGCGGAACCACACTTCTCCGCCCTCGGTGGTGGCGAAGGGCTGGCGGCAGGGTGGGCGGGGTCGGCGGCGGCGGGCCGGTCGGGCTGCCTGGTTGGCTGGTGGCGGTGGGCCGGGTTGGCTGGCTGGCTCGTTGGTGAGCCGGGTTGGCGGCGGTCGGCCGGTTAGGCTGGCTGGTTTTTGGGTGAACTGGGTCGGGCAGTACATTCCGACATCGACTTCTGATTTCTGATGCTCCTGCTGCCCGAACGTAGAGCAAGTACGTCGACTAAGCATACTGCGTACCAATGTCTCAAACTAAGAACAACTATACAGTTGATGGTTCAGCGATGTCCCTGGGCCATCAGTGCTGTAACGACTAACTCGACTACCAATACTACTACAGACCACTGCAGACTGCGGCCGTAACTGCACATGCTGCTACTACTGCTGCGTGTGCTACTGACCATATCAGAACTAGAGTTGTAAGTGCCACTGTCACTACCACGAAGTAATACTGCTACTACCGCGGATGCTTGCAATACTACTGATGGCACCACGGCGCATGCTCCTGCCATGAAGACGACCACTACTCCTGCCACTGCTGTCGTTGCATACTAACGTTTCTACTAGCGACTAACAACTGCGATCCCCAGCCCACGTGCTCACGCTCACCCCCGACTCCCGAACGCTTCGGACGCACACAGACACACAAACACACACAGACACACACACACACAGACACACACACACACACGGACACACGCACACACGCCTGCCCTCCCTCCTTACCACCGTCTATTCCTCTCTCTCTCTCTCCCTCTCTTACACACACATGCGTCTCCTCCTTGGGGGGGATGACCTTTGTCTCGCACGTGGCCACCAAGTCGGAGTAGTACTTCTGGTCAGCGTCGCGAGTGGTGGTCACGTCCACCAGCTCGCCCTCTGAGTCAGCCTCGGGCAGCCGCGAGGGAGGCGAGCGCGAAGAGGGAAACCATTAGGACGACCGACAGGGGCGGCTGACGCGCAGGACAGAGCGGGCACAGGGTGCCGAGCAGGAGCAGGAGGGCATCGATCGATCGACGGCGCCTCAAAGGGACAACAGGTGAGGGACGGAAAGACGTTGGTCTTGCGCGAGATGGCACAGCGACCTTAAGCGGTGGCTTATGCGGGCCACCGGCGAGCGCCACATTGGAAACGAGGGCGCGACCGCGCGACCTTGCGCGGGCAGCTTGCGCGCTAGAGCCGATGAAGTCAGCTCCGTTTCTCCGCGCCGCTCAGGCGGCACAGCACTGGACAGCTGCAGAATAGAAAAAAACGCCATATACACAAACTTGTGGCGCTCCGGGCGGATTTCTTGGATCTGCACTGGACCCCCCTCTCTGGCGCGCGGAGCGCGCCAAGGGCGGCGCCGGAGGCGCCGCCGGAGAAGCCCAGCGCGGCTCCAAGAAATCCGCGCGGAGCGCCACAAGTTTATGCTTATGGCGTTTTTGGTGAACGAACATCACACGCCCGTACCCATAGGAGGGTCGGAGGAAGGAGACCTGGCTATGGGTATGGGTGCGGGTTTTGTCGGACCCCTGGGGAGGCTCCCGTTCGAACGGGGACCCCCGTCCAGCAACACGCACCCACAGCCCCCTCCGACCCCCCTAATTATGGGTACTTCTGGGTGCGTGCTGTTCGTTCGTCACTTGTTCTTCTTCGATGTAGAAGGCCAGCGGGCCTGGCCTGCCTGAGCCTCCTTGGCCTTAGGTCGGGCATGTCCCCCTACAGGCGGATCTTGGGCGAATAATCAAAAACTATTCCAAACAGATTCAGACATGTGCAACACAACAGTCCAGCAATGGTCCCCCCATTATTGTTGGACTATGTTTGGACCTTCCTCCTGGCAGAGGGACATGCCCGCCTTCAGTGCACAAGGCCTGTGGGCCTGGCCTGCCGGAGCCTCCCTGGCCTGCGGGCCCTCCCCTGGGCCGGGCCGCCGTGCGGCAGCAGGGGGGCGACGGGCGGAGCCAGAACGCCGCGGGCAGGCACGGGCGCTCTGGGAGGCGGCTCAGCGCCCCTCTACCGGGGACTCCACTAATGGGTACTTTGGCCAGTGACCCGACGAACCTGACCCTCCCCGCTGTGGGCAACGCTGCAGTGCCAGAGAGAGGCCCTGAAGGGGCAACTTCCGGCAACTCTCCCGAGTACCCGCCAGAGCGTATCCGCTACGGTGCCGCTGAGCGGAAGGCGGGGCCGGGGCCCGGCCCTCCCACTTCTCAATGCACCGGCCCTGCAGAGGCGCTGCAGCGGACTTCTGCGTGGAGCTCTGCGTGGCTCTGTGCCCGGAGCGGCGAGCGAGAAACGAAGTGGATGTCGCGCGGGTTCTTCCTGGCCTTTGTTCCTGGCAACAAAAAAAAACGAAATTCACCTCGAGCTCCGGACATACATCCTGCAGGACACCCCAGGCCCACCCTCTCGTTTTCCGAGCGAAGTCCGCTCTGCGATGCTGGCGCCACGGTGCTTCCCGCGATCTCAGCGCGCCTGGGCCCGCGGAGGCCTGGGCGACTGGATTCCACTGGCGGCGCACCGAGGGGGGTCCCAGTCAGCCCGCACAGCAAGGATGGGCAACCTTCAAGCGGGTACTCCAGATTGCTTGAGAAGCGTGGGGCGTGGATCGCGTGGGGGGGGGGGGGGAACCGCTGTCCTTCGGGGGACGTGGGGAGGCTGGGGAGCGAGGGGGGGTAGGCTCGGGGCGCGTGGGTGGGCGGGCAAGGGGCGTCGGACAGGTTGGCACGGGGGGGATGCTTATTGAAGGATCTGGAGTGCCCTTGCATCCTTGCCCCGTCGGCCCGTCCTCAGCGACTTTCGCTGGCCAACCTCGTTCGGAAAACGTTAGCATGTGCCTCCAAGGCCTTTTGCATCCTTACTGCGCATCCTGATGATCCGGGTTGGTTGTCGGGGAAGGGGGGAAGGCTGCTTAGGAGGCTGCTTCTTGGAGGGCGCCGGCCCTGCATCTAGAGAGGAGGCCCGCGCCTTCTGGGAAGCAGGTGTTTCTAAGAAGCCTTCCCTTAGGTCGGGCATGATGTCCTCCTACAGGCGGTCTTGGGAAGAACAATGAAAAATAGGCCAGAAAAAATGCAAAAATAGTCAGCAACAGTCGAAACATCGTACCCATACTATTGTTTGACCATGTTTGAATATTCCTCTTGTAGAAGGACATGCCCGACTTAATGGTAGGGGGATTGGGGAAGGCTGCTTAGAAGGAGGCTGCTTCTTGGAGGACGCCGGCTCTGCATCTATAGAGAAGGCCCGCGCCCTCTGAGAAGCAGGGTTGCTTCTAAGAAGCCTTCCCCCCTCTTCCTGCCCCTCTGTGCGCGAGACTGATCTTCCCAAGGGCTGGCGTTCTATCCCGAGTCACGTCTGCTGACGGTCGTCTCCGGGGCCCCGTGATGCCTGAAATTTGAGGAAGCCGGCAGTCGTGATTTGCTTGCAACGAGGGGAGCTCCGGGGAGGGGGGAGCCCGATGGAGGGAGGGGGAGGGGGGGGAGGAGGTTCGAGAGTCGAGGTGTGTGGATCGATGCGTGTCCAGACGCTTGTGCAACTTGCCCGCCCTCCAGAGGCTTCATGGAGGCCTCCTAGGGTCTGAGGAGGCCCCCTTGAGGCCTCTGGAAGCCCACGGGGAAGATAGAAGGGGAGCGGCGGGCGCGACACGTCGCGAGGCGAAGTGGAAGGCGGGGAGGTGGGATCGGGGAGGGGGTGGGGGGAGGGGGAGCGGGAGAGGGGTGCAGGGAGAGGGAGGAGGAGGTGGGCTGATGGGGCCACTGGGGGACCGGAGTGGAGTCGGCGCGCAGCGCACAGCGAGCAGCTGCCGGCGCCCCGGAGGGCGGCTCGAGGGTGGGCGACCGGCGTGCTTGGCACGCTGGCCGCTCGAGAGGGACAGGAGAGGCGCCCACGCGCGGCCTCACAGGGAGAGCTGGCGCGCCAAGGTCGGCGGAGACGGGCCCGTCGCTCCTTCGTCGCTCGGGCGGAACTGCTGCGAGGGTTGGGCCTCTGGTGCGAGGGGCCCCCACCGCGATCTGCGGCAGCCCTCACCCGATGGCCCCACGGGCGCTTAGCCGCTTGGGTGAGGTCGGGCGCGTCCCCCCTACAGGCGGATGGTGGACGGAAAATGTTTAAACGAGTAGTCAAAGCACACCCGAAAATACACCCCAATAGTCAAAGAATCGTCCCCATGCTATTCTTCGATTTTAAACATTTTTCCAAAATATCCCTCCTGTAGAGGGACACGCCCGACTTCACGCCTGGGAGCCGCGGCAGGACATCTTGGCACCCCGAGAGAGGCCTCTGCAGATTCTCTCGGGCGGGCGGGCGAGCACGGCGCCCGGGTCGAGGCATTGTTCTGGGTGGGCGTCGGCGCGACTCATTCCCTTGTTCCTCCTCCTCCTCCTCCTCCTCCTCCTCCTCCTCCTCCTCCTCCTCCTCCTCCTCCTACTACTCTTCCTCCTCCTCCTCCTACTCCTACTCCTCCTCATCCTAGTCCTCCTTCCCTTTCTCCTCCTCCTTATTATCATCCTCTTCCTCCTCCTCCTCATCATAATCATCATGAGCAGCATCAGCATCATCATCAGCAGCATCATCATCATGATCATGATCATCATCATCGCCATCATCATCTTCATCCTCATCATCACCATCACCATCACCATCACCATCACCATCACCATCATCATCACCATCACCAGCATCATCACCATCATCAGCATCATCATCAGCAACATCATCATAATCATCATCAGCATCATCATCATCAACATCAACATCGTCATCATCATCAACCTGAACATCGTCATTATCATCATCATCATCATCATCATCATCACCATCATCATCATCACCAATCATCCGCATCCTCCGCATCCTTCGCATCGGCGGCCGAGGCGGGTAAGCGGAAGAGGGGGGCGGCCCTCCAGAGAGGCGGGGGAGCCTCAGAGGGCAGAGGCCTTTCTCAGAAGCCCTCCGGGCATCTCAGAGGCCTTCTCCAAAGCCCCGTGGGCCCTCCTGAAGAAGCCCCCTGTGTGTTAGCGCCAACGTGCTAGCGCCGTAAAGAGCGTGTTAACACCAACGTGCTATTGTCCAAGAGTGCGCTTGCGCCGTAAATAATGTGCTAGCGCCTCTTCAAGCGCTTCTGCCGCGCTGCGACGCAAAAAGTGTGGTAGCGCCAACGTGCGATGGTCCACCGAGGCCCTCCAATACGACGCTGGCGACGCAACGGAGGGCGGACACGAGCTGCACGCGGTCGGGGCGCAGCCGGACTGGGTAAGCACACGCTCGGGCCAAGACACGTGTCCCGAGGATCATCGACTCCAGGGGGGCACACCTGGGCTCGTGCCCTGAAGGCCCACCACGGGATTTTTGCTGACATGCACACTCAAGATGGCTCCCACAAGCACAGTGGTCAGCAGGGGCCAGGCATGGCCCTGACCAAGCCTGGACCCCCCCCGCGCTGCCGATGCAGTCAAGGTAGACATAGATGACAATCCACGCCGACGAGCTGAGGAGGAAAGGCTCCACACTCGCGAGCACGAGGATCCGCACAAGCGACTCCTCGAGCATCAGGAACACGAGGAGCTCGAAACCATCTCACAAGAAACCTAACCCCGAGACCCCAGGACGCCCACTAACTTTGGGTGCGGGAGCGTCACGCTGTCCACAGCAGGGCCGCCGAAGCCCAGGAAATCCGGGGCACCCTGAAGGCAAGCAGGCTGCATCTTGGCATGGGCTTCCATTAGGTCGGGCATGTCCCCCCACAGGCGAATGTTGGACGAACAATTGAACATACCCCCAATACACTCAAAAATGAACAAACAAATCCTAGGAAGATCTTCCCCTGACTTGTTTGTTGACTATTTTTGAGATCCCTCCTGTAGAGGGACGAGCCCGCCTCAAGGGTTCCACTGACTGTCTCGGCGGGG